CGCAAAAGAGTTCAGGAGCAACCAGATGCAGAGTTACCTCGCGCAAAAGGGGATCGAGCACCATATTTCTCTCCCTTATGCACACCAACAACAAGGCGTAGCTGAGCGAACGAACAGCACGCTGATGACGAAGGTGCGGGCATTGATGAAGCAGTCAAAACTGCCGCCGATCTACTGGACTTACGCGATGCACCACGCCGTGCGGGTGCACAACTTACTGTCAACTACCGCCATCACCGGCAACCTGTCCCCGCATGTGAACCAAGGGGGACACATCCATGCTCCGCGTGTGGGGGTGCATGGTCCAATACCGCCCGCCAACGTCAACCATCGGCAAATTCGCCAGCCGCGCGCATTGGGGCATTCACCTCGGCATCAGCCACGAGCACAAGGCGTGGATCGTGCTGGACCTGCCCAGTCAGAAGACCACCCACGCTCGCGACGCGATTTTCTACGAACGCCTCTTCCTTGAGCAGATCTGTCACGACGAGCAGACAAATGCGAACCGCGTCTACGCGAACGACGGGCACAGCTATGCATCGCCCGAGGATGAAGTCGCGGCAGCAATCCTGGAGCAAGACATCAGGGGCGAGTTCACGAGAAGTGATCGCCACAGCAGCGACGATGATGACGACTCCTCTAGAGGAGGAACGGGCGGAACTGGCGGAAGCGGCAGAGGCGCAGCACCGCCAGCACCATCCGAGTCAGAGAGCGATGACGACGACGTGCAGGAAGTCGTCCCGCAACATTGCCACGACAGCACCGTCTCAGGGCTGCAGCTGCTTGGGCTACAAACCGCAAACTCAAAAGCGCCACGTGTCATCGAGCCACGAAACCCGCGCCAAGCTCTCACTGGACCACACAGCAAGGAATGGCGCGAGGCAATGAACGCAGAAATCAAGGCGCTCGAATCCCGAGACACCTGGGTGTTAGTCGACCGCGCAGCGATTAAAGGGGCAAGAGATCTCTCGGGAAAATGGGTCTTCCGCATGAAGACCGCAGCAGACGGAACGATCGAGCGCTTTAAAGCACGCTGGGTGGTGCGTGGCTATGACCAAAGGCATGGGATCGACTTCGACCAGACCTTTGCTCCAATCAGTCGCCACACCTCCGTCCGAATCCTGCTCGCCATCGCAGCCGCAAGGCACCTACCTCTCCGCCAGATTGACGTCAAGAACGCGTTCCTGTACGCATTAGTAGACGCCGTAATCTACTCGGAGCAGTCGCATACATACGGTGAAGGGGACTCGCGCGTGTGTCAACTACGCAAATCCCTTTACGGGATCAAGGAGGCACCAAGGCTGTGGCAGCAGTATCTGCACAACATTTTGCTTGAAATCGGGTTCAAGCAGATGCCGCACGATCCTGGGATGTATCGCCGCGATTTCCGCGGCAAATACATTCTGCTCACGGTCTACGTCGACGACCTACTTTGCACAGGATCGAGCAACGAATTGCTCGAGCAATTCGAGAAGGCTCTGGCGGGGCGCGTCGACATCACATGCAACTATGAGGTGAAGCAGTTCTTAGGCCTCAACATCTCCTACGCGCCTGAGGCCATTCACCTCTCAGCGGCTAAGTACGCAGAAGAGTTAGGGAAGCGGTTCAACATTTCAGCTGCACCGCTCTCCACTCCCTACCGAACTCCCGGACCGAACCACAAACCTGACAGCAAAGCCCTATCCCCCGCTGGAATTCAGACCTACTTGCAGCACCTGGGATGCCTGCTCTTCGCCTCTGTCACCTGCAGGCCAGACCTCTCCTACATCGCAAGTCAGCTGGCCCAGTACTCACGCAAACCAACGGCTGAGAATCTTCTGGACCTGCAGCGCGCCCTGCAGTTCTTCGTTTCAACGCCCAAGATTGGGCTGTGCTACTCAACTGCACCAACCCCATCCTTCAACCTCATCGGCTACATGGACGCCGATCACGCAGCAGATCCCGACAATCGACGGTCGATGACTGGCTTCCTGTTCCGACTCGAACCAACGGGACCAATCTCCTGTAACTCGCAGAAGCAGGAGCTGGTTGCCCTGTCGTCAGCCGAAGCGGAATTCATCGCAGCAACAACAGCAGTTCGCGAAGGCCTCTACTTATAGGAACTCCTGCAGGAGGCGAAAATTCCATCTTCGCCCACCTTTCGTCTTCACTGCGACAACCAGAGCGCGATTCGCATCGCGAACAAACCTGGTTTCGTCAACCGCACCAAGCACATTGCGCTGCGGTATTTCTTCGTGAAGGACGAAGTGGACAAAGGCAAGGTTGACTTGACCTACTGCCCGACTGGTGACATGGCAGCAGACTTTCTCACGAAGCGACTGCCACGGCAGCAGTATCATCATTGCTCCGAACTCAGCGGAGTGGTCAAGCAGGTCAAGTCGAGCTGCGGCCAGGAGTGAAGGGGGGTGTTACGAATAGTAGTGTAAGAACATTACTGTGCACTCCCGACCGCAACTAAGGAAACATGCATTATCGAGAACGAATGCGAAGAGTCAGAATTGACTCGAAGCGTCAGGCAGTTGGGATGCATCTGGACCGTCGCAGCAGACGGCATCGGGCAGCTGCAGGCAGAAGGGTTCTGGCGGGAACAGTTTCGTAACTGTACGCACCGCACGGTTGGGAATGAATTTGAATAAGGGAATGTACCCCTTAGAGTACATGGCTAGCTAGGCCGATTCGAATTCCCCTGTACTCTTATTTATATCGTTGTATTTGCATGTTTTTATCATCTCAAGCATTTTACATTCACTCTGCTATTGAGGTCAAGGGCCCACCACCACTAGAATAGAAGTGTGCGAACCTTCCTGAGGTGATCCTGGTTACGATCTACTTCTGATCGCAGCAGGGGGTAATAAAATTACATTGAGTATGCACATTTTCAATTAATTTTGTTCATTCTTGCTCGATATATTCATATTTTTTTTCTGGTATGCATTCAACTTTATAAATACAAGAGCGTTGGGTAATGTGGGAAAGAAAAAAAACTTACACTATATCAATGACATCAAGATCAGCATAGAAAATGACCCATGCGTTTGCTTTGTTCTTTTGTCTGAGGTGTGCTCCTTTTAAACTCTCCATAAGCTAGCAATCAACATCAGGGGTGTAACGTAACGGTCGGTGTCGACGGAGACGAATCAGTTTCGTAACGAATTGCGTGGACCTTGTGGTCGAGGAAGGGAAGCTGAGTGTCTTCGAGTCGCTCAAACGCAGCACTAGGCGCGAAGTCTAGGATCTCGCGTGTAACACAACACAGCTGAGCGTGTAACATGGCTTGTTCGCCTGTCAGTTGTCGTGACCACATTGGGGTGGCGGCAGAATGAGACACCAACACCCAAATCCCAAACCAAAATCCCGAAGCAGAAGGCATTCAACCTGGCGTCGCCATGACGTGTCAAACCAGGCAAGCGCCTCCGGAAGTCACGCGCTCAGGACTTCCAGGCACCCGCCCAAACCGAAACAACGTCTGCTCGAACATTTTCCTTTTAACTAATCAGGGCAGGTATGGGTGTTTGCTCGCTGCTCCGAGTCAAACGACCTTCTTTTAGGTCCATTTCTTGTCGAGGTCCATATTGGTGGCACAAGCACCAGCAGTGACCCCTCCATACAAAGGATTTCAGAGGAATGGGGGTATTAGGGATGTTCAACTGTTTATACTGTACTTTCAACACATTTCGCCGGGCGAGATTATCAACAAACGTCCGTTGCTGTCCACCGCCGTCCGTCGGGATCCCCCCCACTTTTCCTTTCGAGGTTCGCGACATTCGCCTTGGATGTTTTCATCGCAACACAACTCGCTAGCCAATTGACTACCAGTACGGAACAAGACAAAACCCGGCTTGTCACTGTTCCTAAGATAGTTGCACCGCGGCTTTAAGGCCATATGCCCTTGAATCGACAGCCCTGGTCGGGATGTGCGTGAGAGCCAAGGCTACGACATCCAATCCGCTCTAACCTGACCTTTCCCGAGCAAGGCGCGAACCAGCGTACTTTGTGGTGTCCGTTCCAGATATTCCAACCGAACCATACCTCTTGCTCAACCCCATGCAGCACGTAACACCATCGAACCAAAGCACCTTTGCTCGTCACGCAAACAGCTGTTTGCATTCTCTTGTTTCGTGGGCTTTGCTTGTGCAAGTCTGCCTGCCCTACAGCTTTTGAAGAACGATTCTTCTCCCAGTCGCCGTGTTTATATTCTTTCCCACACGCACGGGAGGCCAGTTGGTTAATGACAGCGCGGCATGAACAAGCACACTGGCCGAAGTAGAGCATCAGCTGGAGCGGCTGATTTATCCCTCACTTTCGCCCGCCGAGACGCACCCGCGAGTCTCGCTGCACACGTCATCGCCACCGTCGATTCTGCAGCGCCCTCGCCGCCGTCCGATTCCTTAGACAGGCGTTTGTGCACTTCCGCTTCTCGCGTCCGTTCCACGCACGCAGCCACGCTGGATTCGCACGGTCGTGCAAGAAATTCGGATTACTTTGCAAGCTCGCCGGGTTTGCCGGCGTGGGTTGCGGAGGAACGTCCAGCTTTCGGTGGCGGTGGCAGCTATGGGCGGCACGGGCTTGTGAGAGAGGCGGCAGGGGGAGGGCGTATCTTGGGCGGGTCGATCGACGCAGTAATCTACGATGGCTTCAAGCCCTACTTCGAATCCGCTCCACGATGTATGTGCTGGCAGTGCCACGTTAGCGATCACAGTACCACGTCGATGCTCGCACTGCCACGTCAGTGTTCACTGTGCCACGCCAGCCTTTCACAACGCGTTGTACGCGTGCAGCGAGCTTGCTTCGACGCGCATCGCGCTGCCCAACCCCAGCTTGTCGCGTCCGTCTGTCATCGTGTTGGTCGGGAGTCGTGACCGTAGTGACGCGTCCGTGAATGCAAGAACGTGATATTATTGTGCCGTTTCAAAGCTACAGCCCACAGCCGCCCACAACTGCCCTGTAGCTGTGGCTGCATGCGGCTATTCCATCCAGCAGTCAGCTCGACGGTTCGAGGCATGGCTAGCGAGCTAAGAGGCTGTGTGGTGGATAGGTCTACGAGCGTGCTGAACGGAAGCGCATCTCACGGACGAGAGGATGATGTTGACTGGGCGCGTGCTCCCAGTGCGCCTCGTTCTTGCATCTTGCTGCGTTCTGCGCCCCCTCCTGTCTTCTCCCAGCCTCGTTCGTTTCCCCCCTCCTCTTTCTCCTTCGCGCTCTCACTCTCTCTCGCTCCCTCTCTCACCCCACCTTGTCCCCCTCCGCCACCCTCCCCCATTCCCCCGACTCTCCATTGCCATTCCCCTTTTCCCCCCAACACAGGGCGGCAGGCCCCCTCCCCCGTCCCCCTGCGCGTTCTTTCCGCCTCTCTCCCCTCGGGGCGCTGCGCCCTCTCCGTCCTCCGCCACCCCTCCCCCGCGCCCCTCCCCCCCACGGAGTCCGCGGCCCAGCGCAGCGCCCTGCAGCAGCGCACGGCGCGCGTGCAGAGGAGAAGACGGCTAGCCGGCAGGATGCAGGAGGCGCTGCCGTTCCACCGTCAGTTCTGCCTGAAGCCGTTTGAGCTGCCGCGGGGAGTGCCGACCCTGCCTCTGGAGATGTGCCGTGGGGATCACATTATCACCATTGTCACCACTGCCTCTCTGCCATGGCTCACTGGTGGGTGGGGTTCGTCTCTCCCCCTCTCTTTGAGGCGCTGCAAAAGTCGTCTCTCTGCCAGCAATTCTGGGGTGCATTATCACCATCGTCACCACTGCCTCTTTGCCATGGCTCACTGGTGGAGATTCTTTCTCTCCCTTTCTCTTGGTGTTTGTGTCACTTTTGAGAATTCTCAATTGTCGGGATATTCTCTCCCCCCTTCTCTCTGCACTCGTTGCGTTTGTTGCGTTTCCTCTGCACTCTCTACGTCACTGCTGCACTGCTGCATTTCCGCTGTCCTCCTTAGCGCCTAGCTTCAAAGCCTTTCTTCCTTCTCCTCTCCTCTTCCCTCATCCCTCCCTCTTCCCTCCCTCCCACCCCTCTTCCCTCTTCTCTCCCTCCCTCCCCCTGCTCCTCTCCTCCCCTCTCCTCCCCTCTCCTCGCCTCCCCTCCCCTCCCCCCAGGCACGAGCATCAACCCGTTGATGCGAGCGGCGTATCTGAGCCGTCTATACGCCATGCGCGTGCTCCTCCTCGTGCCCTGGATCCCCCCTGCTGAGCAGCGGGTCGTACACCCCGCGCACGTGTTTGACACGCGCCAGCAGCAGGAGGGCTTTGTGAGGGAGTGGATAGAGAATCGCCTGGGGTTCGCGCCCGTGTTCCGGATTGCGTTCTATGACGCGTGGTATGACCCGCGCAAGGGCAGCATCTTCCCCCTTGACAGTAAGCACTCCCTACAGTCCTTTTTTTTAGGGGGGGATGGGGAAGGAGGGGGGGGAGGGGGGAGTGGTGGGGTGGGGTGGATGGGGGTCGTATGGACAGATTCACGCGGATTCTCAATATTGGTTACTGAAGGCGAAGCAGTTTCAGTGTTTCATTGGAGTTGGGTAGAACGGGAGGCGTGATGAGAAGGCAACGGTTGCCAACCCCTGCCACTATTCCGTGTGTGTGTCCGTGTGTGCCTGTGTGTTTAAATGCATGTGTGACCGTTCATGTGTGCATGTGCATCTGCGTGTGCCGGTGTGCATGCATGTGAAATGCATGTGTGCGGATATGCATCTGTGCATGTGTGAATGCTCATGTGTGCATGTGCATCTGCGTGTGCCGGTGTGCATGCATGTGAAATGCATGTGTGCGGATATGCATCTGTGCATGTGTGAATGCTCATGTGTGCATGTGCATCTGCGTGTGCCGGTGTGCATGCATGTGAAATGCATGTGTGCGGATATGCATCTGTGCATGTGTGAATGCTCATGTGTGCATGTGCATCTGCGTGTGCCGGTGTGCATGCATGTGAAATGCATGTGTGCGGATATGCATCTGTGCATGTGTGAATGCTCATGTGTGCATGTGCATCTGCGTGTGCCGGTGTGCATGCATGTGAAATGCATGTGTGCGGATATGCATCTGTGCATGTGTGAATGCTCATGTGTGCATGTGCATCTGCGTGTGCCGGTGTGCATGCATGTGAAATGCATGTGTGCGGATATGCATCTGTGCATGTGTGAATGCTCATGTGTGCATGTGCATCTGCGTGTGCCGGTGTGCATGCATGTGAAATGCATGTGTGCGGATATGCATCTGTGCATGTGTGAATGCTCATGTGTGCATGTGTGCATGTGTGCATGTGTGCATGCGTGCAACATCAGGGTCAGACGTGACAGAGTGTGTACCAGACGAGGAGCTGGACGTGGCAGTACTGGAGGAGCCCGAACACCTCTGCTGGTACGCCCTTCCCTTGTTGCTCTTGTTATGGTATGATCGTTGGTATGGTCTAGAGCTGGTAGGCACCGGGGCACGTGCATGTGAGCAACATCAGGGTCAGACGTGACGGAGTGTGTCCCAGACGAGGAGCTGGACGTGGCAGTACTGGAGGAGCCCGAACACCTCTGCTGGTACGCGCTATTTCCGCCTCTTGTGCTGTATGGCGTATCAATGTTTCTCTACAGCGTGCCTCCTTCTTTTTCCCCAACCACCTTCCATTCTTCCTCTCCTTGCCCTATGCACTCTCCCCTGTCCATCGGCATAAGCACACCAATTACACCGAAAGTACATAAAGCGCGACCTGCTCTACGGGGGGCCTTCAGTCGGCCTCCGCCACTCACTCAGCAGTGTTTTGCCCTATGCACTGCCCCCTCTCCCCACCCATCCCAACTCCCAGGTACCACATGGTTGGACCGAAGTGGCGCACGCGCTTCCCCCTATCCATAGGCATAGCGCACACCAACTACACCGAGTACATCAAGCGCGACCTGCTGTACGGGGGACCTCCTTCCTTCCCCTTAACCCATCCCTCTCCTTGCTCTATTCATGCACCCCTCTCCCCTTTCGCCTCCCACCCTCCCTCCCCACCACTCCCCCTCCCTTCCCTCCACCCCCCCACCTACCCCCTCCCCCTCTCCCGCTCCCCAACCAACCCCCAGGTACCACATGGTGGGCCCGAAGTGGCGCACGCGCTTCCCCCTATCCCTCGGCATAGCGCACACCAACTACACCGAGTACATCAAGCGCGACCTGCTCTATGGAGGGCCGCGCACAGCCGCCTTCCTGCTGGTGTACTCGTGGCTCGTGGCGCGCGCTAATTGTCACCGGGTGATAAGGCTGTCGGGCGCCGTGCAGCCGTTCAGTGATTCAATCGTGTGCAACGTGCATGGGGTGAGTGGGAAGGGAGGGGGGGTGAAAGGGAAAATGGAGAGCGTGTGTTGAAAAGGGGTTCTCGAACTGAAACCATCCCGCGCACGGGTGGCGTTCCTGCTGGTGTACTCGTGGCTGGTGGCGCGCGCCAAACGCCACTGGGTGATAAGGCGCCCGGGGGCAGTTCAGCCGTACAGCGACTCTGCCGTGTGCAACGTTCATGGGGTGCGTTGGAAAGAGGGGGGGAGCGGGGGACATGGGGTGAAAGGGAAAAAGGGAGAGCGTGTGGAGAGGGTACGGGGAGAGTTTTCGTTGAAGGGCGGTGTGCTTGAATCGGGTTGTGATTGAATGGGATTGCTGTTTGGTGGAATCACGTTTGGGGTTCCTCTGTCAGTATCCCTTACCACCTTACCCCTCTCCCCCCCTCTCCTCCCACCTCACCCCTTCCCCCTCTCTGCTCTCCACCAGGTATCCCCTCAGTTTTTGGACGAGTCGCATGTGACGCCACCGCATGCCACAGGCGTGTACTTTGTGGGCAAGGTGAGCGGACTGGCAGGGGCGGGTTGGCAGGGGTGGTGGCAGGGGTGGTGGCAGGGGTGGTGGCAGGGGTGGTGGCAGGGGTGGTGGCAGGGGTGGTGGCAGGGGTGGTGGCAGGGGTGGTGGCAGGGGTGGGTTGGCAGATTATTGAGAATTCGTAGAGCATTCCATGTGACGCCACCGCATGCCACAGGCGTGTACTTTGTGGGCAAGGTGAGCGGACTGGCAGGGGCGGGTTGGCAGGGGTGGTGGCAGGGGTGGTGGCAGGGGTGGTGGCAGGGGTGGTGGCAGGGGTGGTGGCAGGGGTGGTGGCAGGGGTGGTGGCAGGGGTGGTGGCAGGGGTGGGTTGGCAGATTATTGAGAATTCGTAGAGCATTCCATGTGACGCCACCGCATGCCACAGGCGTGTACTTTGTGGGCAAGGTGAGCGGACTGGCAGGGGCGGGTTGGCAGGGGTGGTGGCAGGGGTGGTGGCAGGGGTGGTGGCAGGGGTGGTGGCAGGGGTGGTGGCAGGGGTGGTGGCAGGGGTGGTGGCAGGGGTGGTGGCAGGGGTGGGTTGGCAGATTATTGAGAATTCGTAGAGCATTCCATGTGACGCCACCGCATGCCACAGGCGTGTACTTTGTGGGCAAGGTGAGCGGACTGGCAGGGGCGGGTTGGCAGGGGTGGTGGCAGGGGTGGTGGCAGGGGTGGTGGCAGGGGTGGTGGCAGGGGTGGTGGCAGGGGTGGTGGCAGGGGTGGTGGCAGGGGTGGTGGCAGGGGTGGGTTGGCAGATTATTGAGAATTCGTAGAGCATTCCATGTGACGCCACCGCATGCCACAGGCGTGTACTTTGTGGGCAAGGTGAGCGGACTGGCAGGGGCGGGTTGGCAGGGGTGGTGGCAGGGGTGGTGGCAGGGGTGGTGGCAGGGGTGGTGGCAGGGGTGGTGGCAGGGGTGGTGGCAGGGGTGGTGGCAGGGGTGGTGGCAGGGGTGGTGGCAGGGGTGGTGGCAGGGGTGGTGGCAGGGGTGGTGGCAGGGGTGGTGGCAGGGGTGGTGGCAGGGGTGGTGGCAGGGGTGGTGGCAGGGGTGGGTTGGCAGATTATTGAGAATTCGTAGAGCATTCCATGTGACGCCACCGCATGCCACAGGCGTGTACTTTGTGGGCAAGGTGAGCGGACTGGCAGGGGCGGGTTGGCAGGGGTGGTGGCAGGGGTGGTGGCAGGGGTGGTGGCAGGGGTGGTGGCAGGGGTGGTGGCAGGGGTGGTGGCAGGGGTGGTGGCAGGGGTGGTGGCAGGGGTGGTGGCAGGGGTGGTGGCAGGGGTGGTGGCAGGGGTGGTGGCAGGGGTGGTGGCAGGGGTGGTGGCAGGGGTGGTGGCAGGGGTGGTGGCAGGGGTGGGTTGGCAGATTATTGAGAATTCGTAGAGCATTCCATGTGACGCCACCGCATGCCACAGGCGTGTACTTTGTGGGCAAGGTGAGCGGACTGGCAGGGGCGGGTTGGCAGGGGTGGTGGCAGGGGTGGTGGCAGGGGTGGTGGCAGGGGTGGTGGCAGGGGTGGTGGCAGGGGTGGTGGCAGGGGTGGTGGCAGGGGTGGTGGCAGGGGTGGTGGCAGGGGTGGTGGCAGGGGTGGTGGCAGGGGTGGTGGCAGGGGTGGTGGCAGGGGTGGTGGCAGGGGTGGTGGCAGGGGTGGTGGCAGGGGTGGGTTGGCAGATTATTGAGAATTCGTAGAGCATTCCATGTGACGCCACCGCATGCCACAGGCGTGTACTTTGTGGGCAAGGTGAGCGGACTGGCAGGGGCGGGTTGGCAGGGGTGGTGGCAGGGGTGGTGGCAGGGGTGGTGGCAGGGGTGGTGGCAGGGGTGGTGGCAGGGGTGGTGGCAGGGGTGGTGGCAGGGGTGGTGGCAGGGGTGGTGGCAGGGGTGGTGGCAGGGGTGGGTTGGCAGATTATTGAGAATTCGTAGAGCATTCCATGTGACGCCACCGCATGCCACAGGCGTGTACTTTGTGGGCAAGGTGAGCGGACTGGCAGGGGCGGGTTGGCAGGGGTGGTGGCAGGGGTGGTGGCAGGGGTGGTGGCAGGGGTGGTGGCAGGGGTGGTGGCAGGGGTGGTGGCAGGGGTGGTGGCAGGGGTGGTGGCAGGGGTGGGTTGGCAGATTATTGAGAATTCGTAGAGCATTCCATGTGACGCCACCGCATGCCACAGGCGTGTACTTTGTGGGCAAGGTGAGCGGACTGGCAGGGGCGGGTTGGCAGGGGTGGTGGCAGGGGTGGTGGCAGGGGTGGTGGCAGGGGTGGTGGCAGGGGTGGTGGCAGGGGTGGTGGCAGGGGTGGTGGCAGGGGTGGTGGCAGGGGTGGTGGCAGGGGTGGTGGCAGGGGTGGGTTGGCAGATTATTGAGAATTCGTAGAGCATTCCATGTGACGCCACCGCATGCCACAGGCGTGTACTTTGTGGGCAAGGTGAGCGGACTGGCAGGGGCGGGTTGGCAGGGGTGGTGGCAGGGGTGGTGGCAGGGGTGGTGGCAGGGGTGGTGGCAGGGGTGGTGGCAGGGGTGGTGGCAGGGGTGGTGGCAGGGGTGGTGGCAGGGGTGGGTTGGCAGATTATTGAGAATTCGTAGAGCATTCCATGTGACGCCACCGCATGCCACAGGCGTGTACTTTGTGGGCAAGGTGAGCGGACTGGCAGGGGCGGGTTGGCAGGGGTGGTGGCAGGGGTGGTGGCAGGGGTGGTGGCAGGGGTGGTGGCAGGGGTGGTGGCAGGGGTGGTGGCAGGGGTGGTGGCAGGGGTGGTGGCAGGGGTGGGTTGGCAGATTATTGAGAATTCGTAGAGCATTCCATGTGACGCCACCGCATGCCACAGGCGTGTACTTTGTGGGCAAGGTGAGCGGACTGGCAGGGGCGGGTTGGCAGGGGTGGTGGCAGGGGTGGTGGCAGGGGTGGTGGCAGGGGTGGTGGCAGGGGTGGTGGCAGGGGTGGTGGCAGGGGTGGTGGCAGGGGTGGTGGCAGGGGTGGGTTGGCAGATTATTGAGAATTCGTAGAGCATTCCATGTGACGCCACCGCATGCCACAGGCGTGTACTTTGTGGGCAAGGTGAGCGGACTGGCAGGGGCGGGTTGGCAGGGGTGGTGGCAGGGGTGGTGGCAGGGGTGGTGGCAGGGGTGGTGGCAGGGGTGGTGGCAGGGGTGGTGGCAGGGGTGGTGGCAGGGGTGGTGGCAGGGGTGGGTTGGCAGATTATTGAGAATTCGTAGAGCATTCCATGTGACGCCACCGCATGCCACAGGCGTGTACTTTGTGGGCAAGGTGAGCGGACTGGCAGGGGCGGGTTGGCAGGGGTGGTGGCAGGGGTGGTGGCAGGGGTGGTGGCAGGGGTGGTGGCAGGGGTGGTGGCAGGGGTGGTGGCAGGGGTGGTGGCAGGGGTGGTGGCAGGGGTGGTGGCAGGGGTGGTGGCAGGGGTGGTGGCAGGGGTGGTGGCAGGGGTGGTGGCAGGGGTGGTGGCAGGGGTGGTGGCAGGGGTGGTGGCAGGGGTGGGTTGGCAGATTATTGAGAATTCGTAGAGCATTCCATGTGACGCCACCGCATGCCACAGGCGTGTACTTTGTGGGCAAGGTGAGCGGACTGGCAGGGGCGGGTTGGCAGGGGTGGTGGCAGGGTGGTGGCAGGGGTGGTGGCAGGGGTGGTGGCAGGGGTGGTGGCAGGGGTGGTGGCAGGGGTGGTGGCAGGGGTGGTGGCAGGGGTGGTGGCAGGGGTGGTGGCAGGGGTGGTGGCAGGGGTGGTGGCAGGGGTGGTGGCAGGGGTGGTGGCAGGGGTGGTGGCAGGGGTGGTGGCAGGGGTGGGGTTGGCAGATTATTGAGAATTCGTAGAGCATTCCATGTGACGCCACCGCATGCCACAGGCGTGTACTTTGTGGGCAAGGTGAGCGGACTGGCAGGGGCGGGTTGGCAGGGGTGGTGGCAGGGGTGGTGGCAGGGGTGGTGGCAGGGGTGGTGGCAGGGGTGGTGGCAGGGGTGGTGGCAGGGGTGGTGGCAGGGGTGGTGGCAGGGGTGGTGGCAGGGGTGGTGGCAGGGGTGGTGGCAGGGGTGGTGGCAGGGGTGGTGGCAGGGGTGGTGGCAGGGGTGGTGGCAGGGGTGGTGGCAGGGGTGGGTTGGCAGATTATTGAGAATTCGTAGAGCATTCCATGTGACGCCACCGCATGCCACAGGCGTGTACTTTGTGGGCAAGGTGAGCGGACTGGCAGGGGCGGGTTGGCAGGGGTGGTGGCAGGGGTGGTGGCAGGGGTGGTGGCAGGGGTGGTGGCAGGGGTGGTGGCAGGGGTGGTGGCAGGGGTGGTGGCAGGGGTGGTGGCAGGGGTGGTGGCAGGGGTGGTGGCAGGGGTGGTGGCAGGGGTGGTGGCAGGGGTGGTGGCAGGGGTGGTGGCAGGGGTGGTGGCAGGGGTGGTGGCAGGGGTGGGTTGGCAGATTATTGAGAATTCGTAGAGCATTCCATGTGACGCCACCGCATGCCACAGGCGTGTACTTTGTGGGCAAGGTGAGCGGACTGGCAGGGGCGGGTTGGCAGGGGTGGTGGCAGGGGTGGTGGCAGGGGTGGTGGCAGGGGTGGTGGCAGGGGTGGTGGCAGGGGTGGTGGCAGGGGTGGTGGCAGGGGTGGTGGCAGGGGTGGTGGCAGGGGTGGTGGCAGGGGTGGTGGCAGGGGTGGTGGCAGGGGTGGTGGCAGGGGTGGTGGGTGGGTTGGCAGATTATTGAGAATTCGTAGAGCATTCCATGTGACGCCACCGCATGCCACAGGCGTGTACTTTGTGGGCAAGGTGAGCGGACTGGCAGGGGCGGGTTGGCAGGGGTGGTGGCAGGGGTGGTGGCAGGGGTGGTGGCAGGGGTGGTGGCAGGGGTGGTGGCAGGGGTGGTGGCAGGGGTGGTGGCAGGGGTGGTGGCAGGGGTGGTGGCAGGGGTGGTGGCAGGGGTGGTGGCAGGGGTGGTGGCAGGGGTGGTGGCAGGGGTGGGTTGGCAGATTATTGAGAATTCGTAGAGCAT